AGTAAAGGTTATTATACAACTTCTGCGTACTTGGATGACAAAAATCCATGGTAGTAACCCGTTTAGCTCATGGAGGTAGTCTTGATCTCTGATGTTCCAAATCAAAAAAATAATATTGTAAATGTTATTTACAAAGAGCAACCCCTAGAGTTTCTTGCTCATTCTTCTCAGGGGAATCTGCCTTACGAATGAGCGGTAGAGTTTAACCATTGTGACGATTTCAAGTGTAATAATGCTTACCTATGAAATAAAGATTATTTTGAATTTGAATTTTCCACCCTCTTGAAATCGTTCTCGTCGCACTGGTCAACTCTTCTCGATGGTATTGACGACACAGCTCCAGATATGAGTACCCGTTTTTTTTTCTTCCCCTTTATTGTTAACTGCCTGGGTTGTGGTTGTGGATCAGTGAATCGGTTAGCAGCGGCTACAACAGCGTAATCACATTGACGTGGTTACGCGTAACGTCACCACTGGAGAGGAAAAATGAGGTGAAGTGAGGTGCGGGACGTGGGAAAACGCACGCGGTGACAGTGATCGGTGACGTATAAGCCGACTCAAAACATCCGATAGACTATCGAAACCGCATTACTCAGTAACTCAACTTGGGCACGCAACTCACTGATGGAGTTATCCGACGCCTCCAATTTACAATGAACCTCAGCAAGCCTCGATTTTAGGGACGTAATGTCGTTCAGCAGCTTGTGCAGCTTCTTCGCCACGAAACAGGCACGTTGTCTGGGTCGGTCTCCCTTAACAACGTGATAATGTCCTGGAGATTCTTCGCTCCTCCATCCCTCCAGCGAGGTGGCATCTGCTCAGCCTTGCCAAGCATGCGGAAAAGTAGTGCCTTGCCACTGCTAGTCTGCTCTTCCTTGAAATTTGATTTCCAGACCCGCACGATGCTGACCTCATCCATAGAGTCGACGGCGTGTCTAATGAACGTCAACAGTTCATCTATGAGCTGCTGGGAACTCAAAATCAATTACGCGCAGCGGCTATTGCCGCGTTGGTTGCGAATTATTATAATTCTTACTCTGTAGTGGAGCAGGTCCGAATCCGACCGTGCGCCACATCGTATTGATTATAAGGAGGGAATGGAGGCGGATCATTACAAAGCGGAAGCGGTGATGAACATCATTCCTAATTAATTTATTTGTGAAAACAAAGATTGTATAGAAATTGACATGTACAAAATATGTATAGTTTCCACTGTGTCTGGCCAAACATGTTGAGGGTTATGGGAAAGGAACAGTTGGATGTATGTTTTGAATGAGAGATTTCTGTCGTGTGTAACTTAGATATATTTAACCGTATTTTCCAAAGAAAGAACAATGGCAAAATCATAGTGAAAAGAATTCGTTAGCGTCTTCAAATGTCTTAATTACAAGTGTGCATAAAATAAATTCATTAGGTTTTTCAAATTAAAATAGCGGCCTATCTTAGTCCGGAAATATAAATCATATTTATAAGAAACTATTGGCTAATTAGTATGTTACCGGACAGATATCTACAACTGTCAGTTTCTTAGTTCCTTAACATTGAGCGACATCTAGTCGACAAAAAAGAATCTTAGTACCTACGTATGGATATGGTCCACATTAAGTTAGTTCACGTAATTTCAAATGTATGGATTCGACCGACTTTGTAATAAGAGTTTAACTTTTCATTACAAAATAGATAATTCCTTCTCCAAAACGTCATGCGAGAAAATAATAAAACTGGCAAAAAAGTTCCCTGAATCGAGGAAAGATGGCATGTTTCACAAAAAAAATTGTGTCCGAGTTACCAATGCAATAGTCTGTGGTATGTATAATTAACTCAGTTTTTTGTTATGGCTTAACTTTATGCGTTTTGTCCATGCCAGTGTAAAAATAATTTCTTTTGAATTTTCGTCACTTTATAAACCCACGGCAACATTCATTACCGCTGTTTGAAGCTTCTGTAGTTTATTTTGATATAATAATACACGGAATATATTTTATTCAATTACTTACCACATAACCTTCAAAAACTTCAAACCGGAATATCTTTAATTCGAGACTTCTCAGAATAGTAAACCCAAAACAAAATTTCTTCAGGAATTTCATCTCTATACTTTCACATATTTTTCATAAACAGAACAAATTACCTATATCGAGTTTTTACACAAAGGAAATGAAACTATTTTTCCGGATTGAAATCGTGTATTGGACCTGTAAAGGGCCCGAAACGTCGGTTTGTTTGAAAAAACAAATATACGCGATTTAAATACGGAAAAATAGTTTCATTTCCTAAGAACAAATTATGTCAACAAAAATTTCTATGGGTGTTTGCCATTGTACTTTGGCGGTCCAAGGGTGAGATAGGGATGAGATTTTATTTAGATAGGGGTGAGACCTTACGGCTGGACACGTTACTTCAAGTGAAGAAAACCGCTGCGTTTTGTCGGGATAGGCCTCGATTCGTCATTTTTTAAACCATTAGCCTTGGCGTGTGATGGCGAAAAGCCGAATACCGGATGGCCATCAACAAACAGGGCACGATGTACATAGGGCGCACTGTAAGTTTCCGGAATGGGCCACCTACATAAACAATATTTAAAAAGTCATTACAACATATAAAAATGGAACTCTTTGGCTGTGGAATACAGTTTGCTTCATCTGATTGTCACTTTTTTTACATTGTGGCGTCATTTTAGAAATTGGTTGTCCACATCACCATGGACTTAACTCGTGAACATTTTCGTAGTATGAGTTTCTACGACTTTAAGTGTAATTTAATAGCTCATCGGAGCTTCACTCGGCTTCAAACAGCTTTTGGCGATGAAGCACCATGCAAGACGACTATTTATAGCTGGTTTGCAGAATTCAAATAATCGTGTCGTGTGGTCGTGTGAATGTCATTGACGAATTTCGTGATGGTCGCCCGTCCACTGCTGTGAACAACAAAAACATCGATGCTGTGCACCGTATGACCAAAACAGACAGGCATGTGACATACCATGAGAGTCGGGCATCTTTAGGCATAGGCATGAATCAAATACAATCAATACTACACAAACATTTGGAAGTGAAAAAACTGTGCAGTTGCGCGCGTGCAAAGTGCCTCTAAGCGGATGATTGCTTCTTTTTCTAATAAAACTGGACACATGGCTACTGTTGCTTTGGAGAATCGTTGTACCGTGATTGGTACACGACCATTTGTTTGCCGGAAGATATTGACAAACTTCGTAAAAATAACCGTAAACGCCGTAACATCTTGCACCACGATAATGCCAGTTCTCATACGGCCAGACAGACAAATGAATTTTTGAAGGTGAACAACGTTGACCTTATGAGCCATCACGCGCACAGTCCCGACCTGGCACCTTGTGACTTTTATTTATTTCCAAAAAATAAAACCAGTTACGCGGTCAACGATTTTCATCACCTGAAGAGACTGTCGAAGAGTATGAAAAATTTGTTTCAGAGATTGTCACGGAGGAGTGGCATAAATCTTTTCAAAATTGGTTCATTAACGCTAACGGAGAATATTTTGAGAAGTATTTTTCTTATTCATTCCGGAAACTTATAGTGCGCCACACGTATATACTGATATTGCGGTATATCACTGATGTACAGGGAAAAAAGGAAGAAGTACCTGTATCGTAGGTGCTCTCGACTCCATTGTGTGAAGTGAGATATCATAAATAGTTCCAAGTGATCTGCACTAGACGGGTGTAAGACTTTTCCAAAAACTTTTGTCACATTGACGTCGTAGGTATATATCCTTTCGGTACCCGTGTACTTCTACGTAGGTTATCCTTTAGGTACCGGTGTACTTCTATGTAGGTAATATCCTTTAGGTGCCCGTGGGTGTGAATCGTGCGCAAAAACTTAGGTCAAACTTTCCGTATACCAAATAAATAGCGTATTCTATTTCGTTTCTCGTTCGAATTAGACGTATCTCATACATGAGATCTGTAGGTACCTAGCAGTGGGGTTACTTTCATCGAAAACCAAAAGGAAAAGTGTTTTGCATTCTGACATTACAAAAATAAACAACCATTTTTATTAATAAGAATATGTGCCAACTAACATTGTCTTACCGGAAAAGGACTTGTTATGTTTGAGCTCTTTCTTCAAATCATTGGGCGTAGTGGTCGTAGCCGACCTGCACCAACACAGGACTATCCGAAAGTAGATCCGGAACCTGTTAAAATAGTTTTTAAGTAAACAAAAACGTAGTCTAAACACAAGCATCAAGATGGATAAATTTATATCTGAATAGGTCTGTGCAACCTTAAAGATGCAGAATAGATTTGAATAGCGTCTCCTAGTTGTTTAGGCCAACATCAGCTTTGCGTTGCTGCACTAGGATAAGTAAGTAAGTATAGTGACACGTCTCTACTCTCTAGCATAACCGCAAAATAAATGAAATTAATGATACCATGTCATTAAAACTAGTAGTAGGAAGGCATAGGCTTCTGCCTCTACTCTTATTACTTATAAATTGGTCGATCTTATAATAATCTCCCAGCGGGAAGCAGTTACCGATAGGTCAAGATCTTCTAACATGGAATAGAATATAATACAGAATATTTCAGATTGCTTAACACTCTGGCTTAGGTTACTTAGTGTGGTACGTTCAACGAGTGTAGGCCGTATTAAATACTGTTTTCGGATACCCGCACTTCTGTAATTGTAAAAAAATTGTAACAGTAAGTATTAATGGGACTTCAGAGTCACCAATTAAGTTGTTGTATATACAACGTTAATTTAACTTTTTTTTTTTTTTATTGTGACTCGGCAAAATGACTGCACCGCGCCTGATGGAAAGTGCGAATACAGTCCAGAGATGAGAGTAACGGATGGAAAACACAAATATCTTCACTCCGTCACTATCATTTTGCCGGTCTGGAAAGTTTGCGAACACGAAATTATCATAAATATTTATCTCATGAAAATGCTAATCAATAACAAAGTGGCTTCAGTAGTGTTATAAATTTGCAAAATTTTTACGTTAACTCTGCGGAATTTTAATATGGTTGACTTCAACAATATTATGGAGGATACATAATGCAAATAGAGATACAAGTTCATATGTTTCCGGAAAGAAATGAGATTCTTATCCTTTTTTTTCCAATAAAGAAATCTCGGTTAAAACTGCTTGGTAGTAAGGATTTGTGCCCTCGCGTCGAGTCGAAACAGTGAATTTTTTATCAATCTGTGTTCGTTTCTTATTTTACTCAGTATTTAAAATATTTCTCACAATGCTATAATAATGATGACATCATTCTTCTGCTTTACGAAAATGGTAACGGGCTGGTATCCTTAACATCTGAGTGCACATTTTGCGTGCTTTATGAATATTCACTTAAATTAATTTTTGGTACCTATTCTGTGTTTTAAAAAATCAAATACAATAAGGTTCTGCACTAATCCTTCACATCTTCTGCAAGATACCAATTAATCTGTTTCGACTGTATTAGTACATTAAAACTTCCACTTTTGCTTATTACCACTTTATTAATTATGTTTTTATGGTATAGTTACTATTTACAGTACAGATTTGATTATATTCTTTACTCAAAGTATTAATTAAGAACTACGTTTCATATATTGATTATTAATGAATATTATGATGTTTCTATTACAACATTGATATTCATTTACCTTTTGTGAAATTACTCCACTAGTTTGTTATAATTTATTAATAACAAAGATCGAACACAAAGACAGATTCCTTCGATCTATCAGTACACGATCGTGTGGCTGTTTTGCTAATCTAGGGCAATTTGTCACATAAGATCGAAGGAATTTCTCTTTGTGTAACGACAACTCACGTGAGAAATAAAGGTAGGCCATAATAATAATTTCTTTGGGTCCGAGAATCGAACCCGGGACCTCTGCGTGGCAGACAGCATGGCAACTGTTCGGCCACGGAGACCGTTAAATAATTCGAAATTTGTTATTAATAATTACGTTTTATTGCATTAGTTACAAATTGAAGAGGGAAGGAATTACTCGAGACTGAAAGGTCTGTACTCAATCCTAGATCCTCAATCTTAGATATCTACTAAGCATTGTTTAACTATATTTAAAAAAGACCTATCTTACGATAGCCATCACAATACAGAGCGAAAAAAATGATTTAGGTCGCCTTTCGTTGTAGGGGAGGGTCTCCAATTAAATTTCTTTATTCCTGTTTTTGCGTTGACTGTTGGTGTGGGTATATTGTTAACCCAAAAACAGCAAATATCATCTTAACCGGGGCAAAAAAGTGCGGACGGTCGAAAGGATATGACGCAACTATACGGGTTCTTGTTGTTGAATACTGCAAAAAACACACTTTCAGCGTACTTACTTATTACTCATCCAATAGTAGATGAGAGGGTTGAACATGGCGTTAGCCATGGCTAGCCAATAAAAGGCTAGGTAAATGTGCTGCGCGAACGGCTCCGACGCCAATGACTGGTGGTGGTATACCAGCACAAAGTACGCATGGTATGGCAACCAGCATAGTGCGAATACCATCACCACCAGAACAAACATTCGTACCACCTGTATGAAAGAGAATATTAATTAGCTACTTTAAAAAATGGACAATATCTCCAAAGCCAAGACCACATCAAGCAGGAGCTTTTAGGCTTTCGACCATTAATATCGTAAGCGACACAGAGTTATAACTATATCAATAAATAACGCACAGACTCATAGCCCCGCACTAGGGAAACCATGTATCGCGGGTGTCATGGACACACACATAGACAACCACAAATTACACCCACGAGTGAAATAAATGTAGGTCGAACAAACATTTCTCCCGGCCCGGGAATTGAACCCGGGACCTTCGTGTGTCAGACGGAGGCAGTTCAATAAAATTTTAAATCCATGCACAAAATATTATCTGTTCTACAAAACGATAAGAGGATATTACAGGCTGCAGTCGTTATTACATCGTTTTTATAATATAATTTATATCAATCTTAAATATAATACCAGATAAAAAAATTTGCCTTATATATAACAAAAGAAATTAGAATCTGCTGAACTTTCATTACCAAATTGTCACTAACAAATTTAAAACAGAGGCCATTACGGAACTATTCTATTTGATATAAGTTGCAACGTGTCCTAAATGAATAAATTTGATCCCAACAAACGACTACCTTCTAGACTTAAATAAAATACCAAATCCATAGAGGCAATGCTTGAAAAGGCTTAAATCAAAGAGTTCTAACATTGTAGAGCACCATATCCCACGTCAGTCGGCACTTTATTTTAGCTGTACGTGTCCCTATGAATTTGCTCAGTTAGGATTCGGTCTACCAGTTTCTACAAATAAAAGCGAGGTAACTTAGTTGTACGTTTTTCCAAGTACCTCCAATAGAAACCACACTCCTTTTTATTCAGATTTTATTTCCAGCATTCTCTCTCAAGTCGAAGCCTTCTTATTTCATGAAGCTACTCTCAAAAAACCTTCAAATAGAGCGTCTGTATAGATCTCTTTAACGCTGTTGAAATGGAATTGGATTTCGATTCGTGTCCAATCGGGACTCCCATTCACTTAATATTACATGACACCTCGTTATAAAATGATTTAACGGTGCGCAATGATGTCGAATAGAATAAATTCTATGTGATGGTCATGTGTAAGGAATTTATTAATGGTTGCTTCAACGTCACATGAACAAAGGACGATGGTAACGTTTTTAATATGAAATCATTGTTTTTGAAACAAATTATACTTTTATACTGCGTTATTTTCAGTCCCAAGGTTTTATTTTATTGTTCATGCCTGGCGTATCTTCTAGAACGATAATTTCGCCGGAAATATTAAGTTTCGGCAACATCCACACGAGGGAACTACAATGTGATGTTAATTTCTGACGTAGCACTAATGCATAATGTACAATCGTCAATCATTATTACATTAATTTTATCTATAGACGTCAAAGTGCTTGCGTAATATGTGAATAATAAGTACCGTTAGATCAAAGGTATTGTAATAAAATTATATCATATATATATAGATATATATATATACATATTTATCATCCTTATATAATATATATCATACATATAACAAACAAACTGTGTCATATCTACGTCAAAACAAGAAGGGAATGCAAGAACAGTTGTTTCACTTTCATACACGTATACTGATGCACGCACGCCCACGCACGAATACACACAACATACACACACACCCAGACACACCTATTCAAATATGCTGTTTCTTTTTACTTCTTTTGTTTCTGTTTTATTTTTGTCATCTCTATATCATCGATCATCAATTAAAAACTGGTATTTATAATGTAATCGGGTGATAGAGGTCAGGAGACTCATAGCACAGGTCTGACCAAATTTACTCCTGCCTCCCAGCCTTACGTCTATGTTTGTTATAGTACCTAGACTACATAATGTACATGTTGGGAGAAAATAAATTATTTATTATTATTATATTATAGATCCCAAACTAAATTCTAAAACATAAAACGTAGCAGAAGCTCCTGTAGACTTATAGTGATTAGACAAACGGATTTACCAGGTGAATGAAGCTTGGAGATTTTCTCCAAATTGAATGTATTCACCTTAGAGGTATTGATAGACAGCACATGAAAATATTCGATACCCACTCTATTGTGAAGAACGTAGATAAGATAGCTAATAATTACGTATACTCGTATACGTCATGAACAAAATACGGAAAATGGAATTCCCATTTCAAGTTCATGTCAAGTTAATATAATGTGAAGCCTTGGTAGCCTAATTATTTGACCTACCGCCTCTCAAGCAGACGCCTCTGACTTTCTCGGAATTTATGTGCGAAATTTAATTTGAAGTTTACCATGAGTTTTTCGGTGAAGGAAAACATCGTGATGAAATCTGCACGTCGAAGAAGGTTCACAACTTATCACTGAGTTACTATATGATAATTGTCTATGAAAACTTAAATAACGAAGGCGAAAAGGTACCCACGCGATATGGAACTTTATATAATAGGTTCAACATACGACGCCTTACTTACTTAAACTCGTATCTTATAAAGAGTGAATATTCAGGAGACGGCAAAACTTGGATGCATTACTTTAAGAATAGGTAAAAGCCAGTGTGTGAATATGAAGGAAATGTGAAGTGAACTCAGCCTGCAAAGGTTGTATATATAATCCATTTTTTGCATTTCAGTAACTTTGTGCTTTAAGTTACGAGTTTGAGAAAGTAAGGCGACATTATTGTTTATAACTTGTCAAAATGCGCTCTCCTAGCTAATGACTTAATTTTAGAATATAATCATCAAAAAAACCGCAACTTACAAGAAAGTGTACGTACATTTTGTATCATTTTAGCCAGGTTTTAAAGTAGTAAATTTAAACGCACCAGGCACCACGATGGTGGAGGTAAATAGATAATTTAGTACTGGCTGGTATTAATAAATTAAAGCCGGTAACGTCATTGGTAGGGTTACGTAGTTGTTATGTAATAAGTTTAAACACATTCTGTTCCTATTTTATTACGTATGTATAAGAGTTACTTTAACTTTAGAAACTTTTGTGTGATCTATAAAAAATGCTACTTATATCATTTTCACTAGTTATGTGTATTTTATGTTTGTGTTTCATAGAGCATAAAAGTGTAAGATGGGGCGAAAACAGCTTGGACAGCGAAGCTTTATTTTTATTTTTGGAGAACGCGCATTCACATTAAATTGCATGACAATAGCTGCTTTAACGAGCGAGTAAAGGAATGTCATCTACAGACGGACGGACGGACAAAAGATATTACTTGTGAGATTAGTTTGTCTACTCAGAACTGTAGATTAATAATGGTTTTCATAAGCACGTACATAACCACTCGAGGTCTACAAGATAATGTATGATTACTCCTATAAAGTTTTTGTTATCCTCAAATTTCTGTTCTAATTGCAGTATTCTTCCAATTTTTTTGCAGAATTGTAAACAGGTAAGTAAATTTATCAACCCTGATTTTATTTCATGTTGTATTATAAGAAGCAGCACTTACTATTTATCCAATATTTATACAAGGTATACTTAATAGTCTTTTACCTTGTGTATTCCTAGTGAATATAAAATATTTTCCAGAGTATAAAATACATTTTATCGTAGTATTATTTATTATTTTATGGTATTGCGACACTATCTATTTCTTTTTTATGATAGCAAGTGGGGGGATAAACAAGTCGTGCAACTGGTGGTAAGCTGCACGCCTGTCCATAACAATTGCAGTCAGTCACTCAGGACTTTAAATTGCAAAGATCTGCGGGGCACTGCATCCTGAGACATAGGTTGGCAAGTCCCATGTACTTGTTTTTCCCTTATCCTTCAAAACCAGAACGCAGTAATACTCACATTACAGCCTGTCAGCAGAAGGTAACGTGGCAATACTTCCTCAAACGAACTCACAAGGAGCTCTATTGCTACTACATTATTAATTACTAAATTGTTACTAAAACGATAAACTATGTAAAGGGAACAATCATAATCGACTTCGTAATGACCAAACACCATAAATAAAAAATTATTGCCCCTTGCATACATAATATCCTACTGTATAATTATTTTTTTAAACTCACGTCGTTGTAACACTAATATTTCTAGGATTAACCAATAATAATGGCCCAACCCTAGAGTTACATAACTTTTAGAAGTAACCGACACAAAACAAGTGGTGTAGCGCAAAATTACGACAAGGTAAACAAATTAATAGAAACTTCTCAAAAACAAGGCGCAACTTATTTTAGAAAGTTATTCAATAATTCAAATACACCACGCTTCTACGAATCGGGAGAGGCAGCACGACAACGTGTGAACGCTACAGTGAAAACTACTTACATTGAGCACTGACACGAACAATTCTTAAGGGAGTCCAGAATCAAACGTGCAGCACAGGTGTACTCTACGTGCAGATTCAGAAAAATCTGCATATCTAATTTGTTCAAAGGCGGTTATTTTCGAAACGCAAAGTAAATTTGTTACTAATATAGCAAATTTTGCAGAGTTTTCCCACAGAATTAATAATAATAATGATAATGTTTATTGACGAAAATAACATTTGGTGGTACATAGAGTACGTACTTACAGTTTAAGAATTCTCTCCGGAATGACGTGTAAACAGTCACTAATTCAGGAAATGAAACTATTTTTCGAAACTAACGTTTCGGGTACTTTACAGGTTCCATGGTCATTGCGTAACGTTCGCGAAAACCAGAACTCGATAGTCACTAAACTAACTACAAGCGCTCGGGTACGTTCTCTGTACCAATATTTAATGCATATACATTGTAATGCTCTATATTGGTTGTCGAGTGTAAATTAGAAAGGAATTTAATGAGTTGCAAACAAAATTCTACTGCGTAATTTTTTCTTCGAGCGCGGAGAACGCTTTTCAATCGAATATATGATACTGGCAGACATGTTCTCATTAATTTCAATGGAATATTGACAACTTCTGTTAGTTTAATTGCAAACTCAGTTTTTTATTGCATAATTTGCGAACAGTTTCGTTTAACTTCAGATACACAACCAATTTAGTAGCTAGCA